AAGAAGAAAAAAAACTGTTCTTACGATAAGAAAAAAAGCGCTTATCCTGAATTAAAGCATATAGCAAAAATACAGTGCTAGTGCTGTAATATATTGCCTTATGAATTAAAGTTTACATATTTTTAATTACAATTATATTTTTATTATGTTTTCAAAACTAAACTACAGATCATCGTAGCGTTTACGTGACATTTTAAAAATATCAAGTCAACGTATGAAAATCATGGATCACCAAACTGTTAAAAAAATAACTAAAAAAAAACTCAATACAATTTTTAAATATTATTCCCAAACAGAACTTGAATCAATATCTTTAGAAATTTTATTTTTCAATTTCAAACACATCCTTGCCTATAGCTAAACTGAAGCAACATACAAACAGCACAAAAGCTGCTAATACCTCAAGGTAAAAAAATTTCAGCACAAGCACATATTTTACGGATATTCGATTCTTAAATGCTTGGTCCGATTCCCGCAGCTTTTTCCAGAAGAATAGTGTCCCGTGGGGCAAAGTGAAGCACCCATAGTCCTTCATTCTGCCCCACGGGACACATTTATATAATTCCAGTCTTATTGATGCAAATATGCAATTTCAGAACTTTAAAATTAACAATGTTTAATACGTAAAAATTGGATTTTTTTTTTTGCATGTTCCTATAGATTTTAAAGCATTCAAATATTAAAAAAAACAAAAAGAAAAAAAACTGTTCTTACGTTATTAAAAAAGCGTTTATCCTGAATTAAAGCATATAGCAAAAATACAGTGCTAGTGCTGTAATATATTGCCTTATGAATTATAGTTTATATTTTTCTAATTACAATTATATTTTTCTAATGTTATCAAAACTAAACTACAGGTCATTGGAGCGTTTACGCGACATTTTAAAAATGTCAAGTCAACGTACGAAAATCATGCATCACCAGACTGTTAAAAAATAAATAACTAAAAAAAAACTCAATACAATTTTTAAATATTATTCCCAAACAGAAATTGAATCAATATCTTTAGAAATTTTATTTTTCAATTTCAAACACATCTTTGCCTATAGCTAAACTGAAGCAACATACAAACAGCACAAAAGCTGCTAATACCTCAAGGTAAAAAAATTTCAGCACAAACACATATTTTACGGATATTCGATTCTTAAATGCTTGGTCCGATTCCCGTAGCTTTTTCCAGAAGAATAGTGTCCCGTGGGGCAAAGTGAAGGACCCATATTTCTAATGGTATTTCCAATCTTGTTGACATAATCGATTAAATCTTCTTTTGAAAAAGTTTGAACTTTTCTCCGTTTGTCGCCATGGAAACAATCTTATATACCAATCACAAGAAAGGAAGACGTAAACATAGAGAAGCCGAATATGCACACATACCATACAGAGTGGTTAACGGTAGAAAAAGACGAAGAAAGTACAGAGACTTAAACGAATCGAGCCGTGAATTAATGTAAGAACAGATTTCAATTGATTCAATTCAAAAGAAAATTTTACCAGCCAAAAGATTTAGGTTCAGCCCAAAGAAACTTTTTTATATTATTTTTTTTATTATTTTACGCGAGTGAAAGTATTTGAAACGCATCTTTCCTTACAATTAAAAAGGAAGAATGTCTTAAGAAAGTTCTTAAAATAAGCTAAGGAGAGAATAAAATATCAAAATATCTTCTAGTATCTCATTATGTGAAAGAGCGTCTTATTTTAAACGTTATCTGATTTTTTTTTCTTAAGTTCTTTTGCATAAAAAAGAAAAGAAAGGAACTGTTACTCATTTTTGTAGTTATTTAATGAAGACAAAAATCAAACTGTTGTAATGTTTCTGCAATAGCGCCCTAATCCTAATTTTGGGGTTAATAGGATGCTATAAAAATTTAATTAAAATATTTCAAAAAAAGCAAACTTTTTAAATTATTATATTTATTTAAAAAATAAATATTTAATTAAAAAAAATTTAAATATTTATCTTTAAATAAATAAATATTTTAAATATTTATTTATTTAAAAATATTTATTTAAAAAAATTATAAATATTTTAATTTAAATTTAAAAAAAAAACGCTAAATTGTTTGGAATAATTTTAAAATATTATTAAGTAAAATTTTTAAAAAGTTGATCAAATTTAATCAATATGAAAATGGATCTCCTCTAATGCTTTGTAATAGCGCCATAATCCTACTTCAGAGGTTAAAAAGATGCTTTAAAAATTTGTTTAAAATATTTAAAAATTAACTTTTGAAAATTAAAAACAATTATTTAAAAAAATTAAAATATTTTAATTTAACATTTTTTTAATTGTTTGAAATACTTTTAAAATATTATTAAATAAAAATTTTAAAAATTTATCAAATTTAATCAACACAAAATTTGATCTTTCTAAGGTTCAGTAAATAAAAAAAAAAGGATAATTACTTAAAACAATACACTGTTAGAAATTTCTCTGAAAAAATGGTTAGATAACAATTCATTTAATTGTCATTTTACTATAATTAAACAAAACAGTCAAAAAACCATAAATAAGATGGTATTCGAACTGTAAACTATGATTAAAACGGTTCATTAACTGTTTGAATTTTATTGTACCGATTAAGCCCACTTAGTGAAGCCGCTTGCAGCTGGGTACACATTATAACCGATAGTTCTAATTTGCCAATCTCATGACTCCATTCCCTTTCCAGTGTCCTGTCTCCCCAATTTGTGACTCTGGACTATTAGAATACGATACTCACCAAGAAGCTACTTAACACAAAAAAGTCTAGTATTCCTCTCCTCTTACGATAGGTGAATCAACCAGACAAACTAATTAAACCACATTACATGGTTCATTTGAGAAAACGCAACTCAACCACTACCTAACTCCAATGTCCATTACTTGATGAAAAGTCTAGCTCCAATGACCAATAAATTTTTTTTACGGTTTTCAAACCATGCTAGTTGTAAATGGTTAAAAAACAATATAGTCTTGTATTCATGATCTTTTAAACCATAGATGTTGTAAACGGTTTCAAAACCGTACAGGTAAAGAAGGTTCTTTACAGTAAACTTTACAGTTAGTTGGATGTACATACTGCTGCCGGTTATTTTACCCTAATTTTAGAATGAAATTTCTATCAGTGTGCATATATCTATGCAGATTAAAGTAGCATTTCATTTCATGATTGAAAATAAAGTTTTTATTTTAAGTGCACATTTATTTGTTGTGTTTAAACTTTTCATTTATCTTAAAAGCAAATCAACACAGACACTGATAACAACAATAATAAAAGAACATATTTTTCAAAAGAATAACAAATAAAATCCTATAGCCCCATCGTAAACTTAGTTAGTGTTTCTTATCAACTAAAAAAAGTATATTAAATTTTTGCTTTATTTTCAGAATAATTCTTCGAAACTAAAAGCTTTTTAGCTTCAAAAATTCCGGATTATGATTTTTTCCCCTACATTTTGCTTAGTTTTATTCAATTTACCTAAGCATCATATTTTTTGAATTATTTCAATGTACTTTTTTGAATTAAAAAATATCTAACTTTATTCTCTCTTCCTAACAGTTTCTTCCTATTCGTTCAAATTTTAACATGCAAGTGAGCAGAATGTTAAAAAAATATATATATTATTTGTTTGACACAAGTTAAATTGGTTTTATAGAAACGATAGTTTATTTAATTTTATTGCGTCACTTATACAGCAGGCATCGATATTATTTAAACTTCATGATAACTATATTTCAAAAATCATTCTCACGATATATCGGTAATATCTTGTAATACGATTTATTTCGAACATACGATGATTTTTGACAACGATAATATCGCAATAATATCGACAACGATAAGTACAAAACACGAGAATGCGACGAGCAATGATCAATATCGAATGTTATAACAATATCGCGATCATTATGGAAAATAATTACTATGAAAAGAAAAATAATATCGCGATCTTTATGGGCAATCAAAAAAATCGAATACGGTAATGCTGGTATGCGAATACGGTAATTTATAATTAACATGATGCGTTCGGATGTGCTAATAAATTTATTTTGGGTGATAAAAATAATGTATTTCTGGTTTGTAATGTTAACTGAGGTAAATATACTGTAAGTTAATTAAATTGGAAAATTATTGCGATATGAGCTGTAAGAAATTTCGGATTAAATTGCTGTAAAAAGTACTGGTAACCTTTATCGTAAAATCCAACTTTACCGGAACAAGTTACGCAACAAAAAAATACCACTCTATTTAAATAAATATTACTGTAAAAATTACCGCATAACATTTTACGGTAAAAATTGACTTTACGGATGATGCACCTTAAGTGTCGGCACTTAATACTGTTATTTGATTCGGAATTTCTTACAGTGTGTTACAAATTAAAGATATTTACTAAATCATGATGTTTTAATTCCCAAAGTGAACAGCTTTAAACTTTTTACTGCTAGGTCCTTTTATTTCAAAACAAATATTTTTTATTAACAAATCATTAACTTCATTGACTTCAACAACATAAAAATGTCAACTATTTTTGAAGGAACTAAAAATTATGATTAAAAATTTTGACCATTATCTTAAATAAATTATATCCTACACCAATTTAAAAAATAAAATTACCCGGCAATAATTTTAATCAAAGAAAGAACTGCAAAAAAAAACAGTCAAAAAGTAAAATCCAAAGAAATTATTAAAATAAAAGGGTACGCAAAAATTTTCAGAATTAGAATTAATTCATGTCTATACATGACTCTGATTTAGTTGAACAGACAACTTAATCCAATCAGCAAAGACGTGCCACTCCCTTAAAAATTTAATGGGAAATGTAACGTAATAATTCGTTTATGGCTAAAGGAAGGAAAGAAAACGTATAAACACTTCATATCTATACTAAAAAAACAAAACTGTAACAGTCATTGATTTTTTTTTCTTCTCTCGTCTTATGCACAAGGTTTTATAATAAGAAAGACACTTCCAAATTGGAGGGAGAAAAGTAAATTAAAAAAGAAAATATAAACTTACCGTTCAACTCCTTAGCTGAGTGTGCTCGCGCCGGAACCTAAAATGAGAAAAATAAAGAAATTGTACTAACCGTGTGAAACCATGGCAGACAAGTTCAATTTATAGAGTAGTTTTGAGAATGAGTAAAAAAAAAGAAAAAAAAAACATTTTTAGGGAATCAGTTAACGTGTAAAATTTTAGAAACAATAATTTTTATTCATTATTTTTTATTAAGTAAATCTATATTTCTTTCGCCAACTTTACTAATACAAGATACCTTTTATGCTAAGTTTTATAAAATATAATTAAAATTTTGAAAGATATCAATTAATAAACTTGTTTAATTACTCACAACTTAAAATGAACTCTGTTAAAAAAGTTTTTTTGAATTTTCTTTTTTTTTTCTTAATTTTTTGTCACAACCAAAGTTTAGAACAAAGTGATTCCAAGACTTAAATTTTGAAATAAAATCATTTAGAATATAACATGAAATAAAATCATATTCAAATTTTTGCTTATTTTCATTGATGCTAACGCATATTTATTTTTTAAATATTTCGATAAAATGTTTTTAATTTTTATTCATAATCAAATTTTTCAAATATAAAAATAAATTTTGAAAAATTGTAGTGCAAAAGAACACTTCTGATGAAGTGTAAATAAAAGTATATTAATATTTCACTTAATACCTTTCATACTTTTAAATTTAAAAAAAAAATTGTGCATTGAGTACTTACAAGAATATAATATTAAATTAAAGACTTTGAGAAATTTGAATAATTGAGTATGCAAAGGTTTTAATTTTTGTGCCATTGATAACTTTTTATTAACAATTTTACTTCAAAATTTTATTCTTACAATGCCTAACAATGTCATATTCACATAATACCATGCTTACTACTTTAATTTTTATTTACTTACTACTTAGACAAAACACATTTATGATGTGAATACTTACACACCCCTTGAGATTGGTGGCAGAAATGCACAACTAGAAACCTGTTAAATGCATTGGTAATAATAAAAAAAAAAGGTGGTAGTAATTGAAAATTTTTACCTATAGCAGATGGTAAGTTTCGCCATACATTTTTATTTCAAATACGCTGCAAAAATAGAGACAATAAAAAAAAACAGGTAACAATGTTCTTTTCAATCTTGTCGTTTAAACATGAATTTTTATTTTGAATATTTCAACAAAATTATTGGAACCCAATTATTCATGCTTATATAACATTTGTAATTTGAATGGGATGAAAAAAGTCACAGTAACTTCTGACGAAAAATCGGTTACAACTGATAAATTACTACAAATTAACCCACTTAGCTTTTCTTTTCTCATAACTGAGCTACGACTTGAGATCAAATCACGATTGCAGTAACTTACTTCTATTGCATGCTTTACACTTAGCTATTCATTTTTCATACCTAAACCACGACACGAGATTAATTCATGATTACTATAATTTACTTCTGTAGCATACTTTTCACAAAGCTATTCCTTTTTCATACCTTAACACCACGAAATGAAATCAATTCACGATTGCTGTAACTTACTTAAGTAGCATACTTTGCACAGAGCTATTCTTTTTTCATACCTAAACACCACAAAATCAAATCAATACACGATTGCTGTAACTTACTTATGTAGCTTACTTTTCGCGAAGTTATTCCTTTTTCATACCTTAACACCACGAAATGAAATCAATTCACGATTGCTGTAACTTACTTAAGTAGCATACTTTGCACAAAGCTATTCTTTTTTCATACCTAAACACCACAAAATGAAATCGATTCACGATTGCTGCTTAGAAGTTTGCTCGTGCAGCATTGCTTTTTTGTATTGAAGCATTTTTCACGAATGTTATGAATCAGAACAAACAGATCGATAGCCGGAACTCACGATGACGTCATCGTTATTAATTTTTGTTTTGTTCCTTAATATTCACAAAAATTTGGCCTAAAAACACAACTTAAATAATGCTGAAATATTATTGTTACCAGATATTATTTTTAAGTACCATGACAACTGAAATATAATATATAATAACACATATTATATATGGTTATGAATACATATTTTATACACTGTTTTATTATACATTGTTTTATCCAAAATACGAAACGAAAATAATAATTAATACTGTTGAATAAATATTAATATTTCTTTTAATTCATTTTGCATAAATGTATTTCCCACGCGCAATATTTCAGCTAAGTAGAAAATATTTTTACTGAAAGCTCAATAAAGCGTGTAAATTAAATATAAACAGTTAAAAGACAAATTTGAAAAACAAAAACTATAGTTAATAGGATATAACTTATAGATAAGGAACGAATAAATTAATTTTGTTTACTTCTTAAAAAAATAGACTAACATAACGATTTTGAAATTGCACTTAATTGTTGGGCAACAAAAATCCAGATTTTATTTTTATGCGTCGTGGTGACCAAACGTAAATATATATATTTTTTGTTTATAAACATGAATTTATAAAGCATTGTTTTATCGAAAATACGCAACTTAAATAAAATTTAATACAGTTGAATAAATACTAATATGTCTTTTAATTCATTTGTTTAAACATGATTTCTTACATGTAATACTTCAACAAAGTAGAAACTTTTTTCTGAAAACTCAATAAAGCGTATAAATTAATAAATAAATACGGTTAAAAAATAAAATTAAAAAACACAATAGTTAACTGGATATAATTTAAAGATAAGGAGCAAGTAAATTAATTTTGCTTAACCTTTAAGACAATAGACTACATAACGACCATGATATTGCACTTAATTGTCATGCAACAAAAGATGTGCAACAAAAGAATATTATCGATAATAATTCCTTAAAATTTTCGTTAATTTTGAGTGCCTTACGAAATGAAAATAACAATAGGGTTACGGATCTTTTATTTTTTACCTGACTATTTTCTTTTCAAAATAACAAAAATGATTTTAATGTCTTTATCAAATGCTTTTTATAAAGAGTCGTTTGTTTTTTCAACCATATTAAAATTATTCATATCATGACAACGGCCGTTTCATTCTTTAGTGAAGTGTGTCATTAAATTTTTAATAATGATGACCCCCTCCGTGTCATACTTCTTTTTCACCTAGGTCTTGAAAGAAAGGTATAAAAATAATAAAACGGGACTGAAAAGTGAAAGGAAAGAAAGATACAAAAATAATAAAACATTCTTTTAACTATAAAAGTCGAAGAAAAGTTAACGTTTCCTGAAAGAGCTGAATAAAAGAGGGGGAAAAGGCAGTATTGTACGGCAGATCCATTAAAATAAATTAGCTTACGACTCTCTAAATCCAGCTAATGAGCACTTAATCATCAGTTACGGAGATAAGTAAAAATCCTTTTCCCATGCTGTTGCTTAAAATGAAGTTCAGACGAAAAGTTCGAAATGTGATGGATTTAATCCATTGCGATTTAAAGCCCGCAACTTTACCATGCAACTATAAATGACATTAAAAAATGTTTACGCAGCGGTTGATTTAAATATTTTGTGATTTATTACAGCGAATTTAATGAGATGCGGTAGTATTTCACAATTTGTAAAAATTTTCTTTTAGTTGAAATATATGGGGAAATTAATTATCGAAACTAACTGATTAAGTTGGTTTTCTGGTCTAGAGGTGTGATTTAAGCCTCATTTTTAGCGTTTGTTTTTCAGTGAAATGGAAAGATTATGTTACATAATTATTCCATGGTTTTATTGTCATCTTTCAGTAACATTTTAAATTTTTTCTAGCTCGAGATAATTATAAGTTAACTAATAAAACTAATGGCGAAGATGGTAGTGCTAACTGAGCACTGATGGTAGGGTTAGGGGGAAAAAATGAAAAAATGTCATTTTTCACAAAAGGGAAGTCATTAGAAAAAAAAAATGATAACAAAAATCGACTTTTTGGGCATATAAACGTACATTTAAAAAAATCGAAATTTTCGAATCGAAAACGAACCATGCGATTTAGTAATCTTATTTTTGAAACATTGAAGCTATCTCATTATTTATAGTAAAAATTTATGTCTGTATTCGTTTAAGTTTACCTTGATTCAACAAAACGAGTCCCACGAGTCTTATAATTTTGTTTTTATTTTATCAATTTATTTTTGCGTCGGACCCAGTTTACAACACTATTTGATCTACTTAGTAGGAATAGGAGTTGTCGAATGCGTTAGGCGCACCAAAACGGGATTCCGGCTTATTGGCATAAGGGGAGTACCACCATGAAAGTTTTTTTTTAAAAAATTATTTTTACATATTGTGAAAATATGTATATTTGAAAACCCCAAAAGCTTTAGTGCGAGCCAGGATAGCCTGGTTGGTAGAGCACTGGGCCCATGTTCAACACGGTGTGGGTTCGATCCCCGTGGCCCGAAGACTCCCCGTGTAGTAAATGGTGACTGGTGCACGTTAAATCTGTCGAGTTACAAAGTCGTCCATGTTCCCATAACAAATAATACCTCTGGGGATACTGATCCAGGAGTTTCCTCGTCTTTTGGATTGGTTGAAAATTACAAGGCAACGGAATTGAACATTAGTAGTCCCAAAATTGGGTCGGCTGTTCAATGACGGCTATTGAAAAAAAGTTTTAGTGCATAAGGTCACCCGGGTTCGAATATCAGCGATGGCTGGTAGATACAAATTTCACTCCCAGCTGGCATGAACCACAGTGCTGACGTAAAATGTCCTCAATAGGTACACGGAACATATGTTCGAACCTTTGGAGGTTTTCATAGTTTCCCCCGCCATGTAACTTAAATGCAAGTTAGTTCCATCCAAAAGTCCTCCACGAAGGCTAGTTTGTCCCAATGCTTGATCCAGGAGTCCCTTGTCTTCTGAGTTGGTTTCAAAAATAGAAGGCTAAGGAGTGGAACATTGGTAGTCGTAAACTCAGAATTTGGTCGGCTGTTCGACGACAGTTTAAAATAAATTTTTTTAATTCAAATGAAAAAGGGCTAGTTTAAACTTCAATTAAAAGAACTCTACTGTTGTTAATGAAAGCATACACGTAGCGCCAGTAGCATGATAGTTAAACAGAAAT